CCGATAGGAGCTGATTGGGCAAGGCCACCTGGGGGGGGGGGGGGGGGGGGAGAGGGATTGTGGGAGGTTGGCCAGCAGGCCCTGCCCCTGATTGGGGTTAGGGGGGCCGATCAGTGGGAGGGTTCCCTTTCCCCCTAAATTGGGCCTATTGGCCAGCCGCAGTACACATCATAGAGACTGGTTGTCCACTTGTTCCAGTCATTCCAGCCATTCTGGCATTCCGGTGCCTTGGCTTTTATATATATATATATATATATATATATATATATATATATATATACACACACACTAGAGGCCTGTTGCATGAAAATTTGTGCAATAGGCCTTCCTTGCCCTTCTGCTCCAGGCGCAGCAGAGAAGCCAAGCCTCTTCAGTCTTCAGTCTTTGCTAGGCTGGAACCTTCAGTTTTCGCTCCATGCCTGCATATGCAAATTAAACCACCATATTTGATGGTTTAATTTGCATACTCACTCCTGATTGGCTGGTAGGTGCCCTGGAGGTGTGGTTAATTTGCATACTCCTCTTTTTATTAGTGTAGCTAGATAGTTTTACTACTCCCAAAGGGCAGAAGATGCAGAATCACCCTAGCATGAAGGAAGAAACCAAGATATCTTTTCTTCTGGTTTCATAAGCTACAGTATCACTGTTCCCACAGGGCAGAAGACGCAAAATCACTGCTGCCAAAGAGTGGAGTTCATGTTGGGAATTCCTGAGTTTGTTTGAAGAAGATAAAGAGATTTCTGAGTAGGCCTCTGACTTTTAGATCATGCTATGTGGGCAGCTGTCTTCAGAGAGAGCTGAGAAATACATAGGGCTGGTGGTTTCTTTGTCAGCTGATCTCTCGAAGTCCTTGGGTGAACTTTCAGAGGTAGGCTCAGATTTGTGGGAAGTCACAAGGAGATTGCTGGGCAGAGATATGACGGTCCCACAGGAAGTTGGGGGTAGTTGTTACCCTAAAGGGGACCTGACTCTGATGGAATCAGCCTAAGGCTGGCTGGTAGTGTTCTTGACTTTGTACAGTAAAAATTTCATAATACTGAGTCCAGGTGGTTTTTAGAGGATGCTTATTAAATCTGGAGACAGTGAACTAAGGCCATTCACAAAAGTGTACTCTGCAGCCCCTCCCATAAGCCAGCTGCTAATATAGGGTAGGACAAAGATTACAGGGGGAGGTAGGGATTATAGGCATGGGGAAGTAGGCTATGCAGGCTGGGCAACAGGGTTGTAAATCTTTCCATGATAATAGGCAATTCTTGAATGAGAACAGACTGCATTCCAAGGTTGACTCCCAGGTCCCAGGTTCACTCCCAGATCCCTGGGGGGGGACGGGGGAGGAAATACAGCTCCCACCAGGTTAGAATGTCCTTTCTTTAACCACTGCAAGGCAATCACAGTTAACAGCATGATTAATATTTCCCGTAATCATAGCTAGTCCCCAATATTCTATTTTTGCCCCTAACAATGTCTAGTTGATTGTTAGACCAGCCAAGAGAACCTTGATGGAAGAGGAACGTTGGTTCATCCCCCATATTGAGGTGCAGGAACCCTCCTTAATCAGATGGAAGGCCCTGCCCTCAACCTCTGACCTTGGACTGTTTACCCTGGGCCTGATTACTCTTCCTTGTGTTAAGGTCCAGAGTTCCTGAGCTCTGGTGCTTGCTGAGAGCTGGAACTTTTGCCTAGTGGCCTTCCTGGTCTTCAGCACTTGGCTCTCAACCCCATGCTCCCTCCTCTGCTTCCCAGCTCACTGCAGCTTTACATTGGAAAGTGGTCATTCTTTCCTGGGGCCCAAAATCATCTGCAGCCACCTGTTCTCTTGAGAAGTAACTCAGTATCCTCTTCTAGCTTCCTCCAGAGGGCATGCAATGTTCTCGTTCTACAATTGAAACATGCCAGAGTGGATTCAGCAACCAAGAGGCAAGAGTTGAAACTGGAAATAAGTCAGGGTTGTTATAAGTCAACTTTTATTCCATCCCACGGCATCCATCTTTTTGATAGATCTCTATTGCACTCATCAAGTCCAAGCAATGTGTAAATATTTTTAGCACATAAACTGCTGGGAATTGAGGTTATCCAAGACCCATGACTAATATCAGAATTTGTGCTCTGGCCATACATTCAAGGCAAATATAAATGCTGGAAATTGGAAGCCTTTCATCTGAAAGGATTGATATCCTCACATGCTTCTGAATCAGCTTGTCAAAATAGTATGGATGATCTTTATTTTTAAATCTCTTATATTTGCAACACATGTTGTGGAATAAAAACAGGAAGTTAAGGATCTGAGAATTGACAAATGCTACTGTCCTGTCTGGAATCCCATAATGCAAGTCTAATTCCCTTCCACAAGTCTTTTGCTGGAAAGGAAGTATGTGAGCCATTAATAATGCCAAGCCCTTGGCCACTGTGGCACCAAGTTCAGGTCTGAGCAAGAAGCTTACCCCCCAACCTTTGGTCTCCCCTTTTGAGCTCCCCTTTTGTGTTTCTGGGCAAGTTTCCATATCTTCAGAGTTTTTTGTCTGGACCAGTGTGAAAGAATCTTCTAAATCCTAAAGATAATTTATATTTTACGAACATTAGCTATTGTGAATGAAAACAGAACGGAAACTTATAGGGAAATTGGTGCTAGGTAAAAAAACAAAAACAAAAACAAAAAAACCAACACCTAAATCCTGGCCATGAGGCTCAGTATCTGAGTGTCAACCTATGAACCAGGAGGTTACAACTCGCTTCCTGGACTGGGCACGTGCCTAGATTTTGGGTTTGATCAACAATTCTTTCTCATCATTGATGTTTCTATCTCTTTCTCCCTCTCCCTGCCCCTCTGACACCAATAAAAATATATATTTAAAGAATACCAAAAATTAGAGAGTCTTATAAGAAGGAAACTATTTACCCAAGTGTTCTTTCATTTTGTCTTTTGAGAAAAGCATTGTCATTGAGGAATGGCATTTATGAAAGTTCTGGACTAATAGGACTAATTGTAAGCCTAGTCTACATTTAAATCTTCATTTCAGGGTAGAAACTGAGACTTGGGGAGACTCAGTGATTTGACTGAAGCCACACAGCAAGTTAGTGTCAGGGCTGAGCCAAGAATCCAGGCCAGCTCATTTGGCCTTTGTTTGCATTCTCCATGTTTCTGATTTGAGCACCCTATATTTCTGCCCTGGTTTCCCTTAAATTATAAATCCAGCTCACTTCCTCTTTTCTCCCCACAATTCCATCCTTGCTCTTCCCTTTGCCATCCCAAATTGCCATCCAGTCAGCCTTGTATTAGGCACACAATTGATTTGCATTCCTTCCCGCCTCCCCCCCCCCCCCCCCCTACTTTTTTCTAGTCTCTTCCGGCCAGAAATAATCTATCTTTTTTCTCAAAACAGAAAACAAGCTTGATCAAGCACAGCTCAGTGGTTGAGCGTCGACCTATGAGCCAGGGGGTCAAGGTTTGATTTCAATCAGGATACATGCCCTGGTTGTGGGCTCGATCCCCAGTGGGAGGCATGCAGGAGGCAGCTGGTTAATGATTCTCTCTCATCATTGATGTTTCTATCACTCTCCCTTTCCCTTCCTCTCTGAAATCAATAAAAATATACTTAAAAAGCAAAACGAGTCACCTGCCCTCACTCTAAGTAGGCTAAGTAGCTCTCCAGATTGCTAAATCTCAGCAACTTGTGTAAGACCTGCACCCTCCTCTGAGGTGGAGAGGCAACATTGGACAATGCATTCCTTTAAAGGGTTCTAAGCTGTGTAAGACTTCAAGGCTTTCCCCCAAGGACTTCACCTTGGATGCTGTCCACTATCATGATAGATAAGTAACTTTAATTTTACTGTGGATAATTCAAAAAGCATGTGTTCATCCCATCACTCATTTATGATTTTATTTATGTAATAAATATTTACTGAACTCCTAATGTGTGCCAGGCCTGGGGCTGGATACTGGAAACATAGCAGTTTAAGGCAGATATCACCTTGCACAGTACTTATAGTTTATCTGGAAGAGAGATATTAAGTAATTACAATAAGGTGTGGTGACTGTTCTGAGAGGGGACAGTTGGGTGCTCAGGGGACAGAGCGGGGGGACCTAACTCAATCTAGGCCTCATGAATGGCTGTTTTGAGGAAGCACCTGAAGTGGGCGCAGGAGTTGGTAAAATGGGGAGGAGGGTGACGTGTGAGGTCAGGGAGGGGAGACTCAGTGGGGCTCATTTGAGGACCTGAAGAAGGCCTATGAGTCTGAAGAACAGAGTGGGGGCAGGAGAATTCTCCCAGGTGAACGGGAGAGGCAAGCAGGATCGGATCAAGGAGGGCTTTGGGGCCCATGCCAAAAAGTCTGGGCCGGTCCTAAGGGCAGGGGAAGCCACTGAAGTGTTTTTTAAGCTGGGGAGAGACATGGTCAGATTTGCTTTATTAAACATAAATCTGGTTACATTGAAGGGAAAGATTGGAGATAAGAAGTGGGGCTAGTGTTCATCCAGAAGAATATTGGTGCCTGAGGCTGGGGTGGTAAAACCAACATGTGTGTGTGTGCATGCATGTGTATGCATGTGCGTGCATGTGTGTGCGTGCATGTGTGTGTGTGTGTGTGCGCGCGCGCGCGTGCGCGCGCATGCAGGTAAGAAAGGGAGGAACTGGGAATGCTAGTATCTGGCACGGGCAGCTGATGGGTTGTTGAGAGATGATGCACTCACTGAAAACACATTGAATTAACCTGCAAATGTGTGGGAGGTGCGAGCTGGTAGGTGCAAACTAGAGCAGCATGAGCCAAGTCTCACTGGCAGAAGAATTTGGCCAACATTTATTTATTCAGTTTTTTTATTTCATCATTTTTATTAACCTATCAATGTACCATTACACACACATACACATATATAATATCTATTTGTCTTCTTAGTAAAAACTAAGAATTATTGTAGGACATACATATTTTAGCTATCATCCCTTGTTAGTACAAATAAAGCTCTCTCTCTTTTTAAGTTGTATTGGTGTAACAGTCACATACAGAAAAGTGTACATAATGTAAGTATCCATGCAGCTTATTGAATTTTCACAAAGATGATTTTACATCTGTATAACCATCACCTAGATCACAGAATACTACCAGAACCCCACAAATCTCCCTCAGGCATCTTCCAGTCACTACCTCCACTATCCTGACTTTTAGATCCTTAGATTAATTTTGCCTGTGCTTAAAATTTATATAAATGGAATCATACAGTGTGTAATCTTTTGTGTTGCTTTATTCTTTTAAGTGAACTATGTGTTATTCCATTGTATGGACATATGATTTATTTAGCCAGTCTCCTCCAGATGGTATTTAAGAAATGTTGTATTCCATCATTTGCAATGCTGCAATAAATTCTTCATAAATAACCTCAAAATAGTACCAATATATCAAGGATTTTTTTTATTATTTTTTTATTTTTTTAGCTTCAAGTAACATAAGAACCAAATAAATAAAAAGCTGCCTAAACAGTAAAGACATTTGTCATCTGATTTAGAAGTCTGGAAGTAAGCAACTCTAGAGCTGGTTAAGTCCGTGGTTGGCAAATTGTGGCTCATGAGCCACATGCGGCTCTTTGGCCCCTTGAGTGTGGCTCTTCCACAAAATACCATGGCCTGGACGAATCTATTTTGAAGAAATGGCGTTAGAGGAAGCTTAAGTTTAAAAAATTTGGCTCTCAAAAGAAATGTCAATTGTTGTGCTGTTGATATTTGGCTCCTTGGACTAATGAGTTTGCCGATCACTGAGTTAAGGTAATAGCTCAGTGTCCCTGCCCCCCATTTTTCCTCTGGCTTTATCCTCAAGACTGGACCCTTCATGTTCCTTGTCCTGTGAGATTTCGGTTCATATATATTTGTCCATTTTTCTATTGGGTTGTGTTCTTAAATTTCATTCTTTAAACTGTTTTATTGTTGACTTCTTTATTTTATTTCCTAAATCTTTGTTGTTGAAAGTATTACATAGGCTCCCCTTTCCCCTCCATAAACTTCTTCTAGGCTGCTCCCATCTCCTCCCCTCCACCCCCCCTTCCATCCCAGGTCATCACCAACCCATTGTCTGTGTCCCCAGGTTATGCGTATATGCATACAAATTCTTTGGTTGATCTCTCTGCTGCCTTCCCTCTGAGGTTCAACAGTCTATTCATGCTTCTATGACTCTGGGTTTGTTTTTGATCATCAGTTTTATTGACCCCTTCAAATTTCCAGCATGCATGAGCTCTCCAGTCATTTCCCGTCATCTGGTCACATCTGTACCACCTTAAGCTCATTGGCTGTTTTCATCAGACAAAGCGTTCTTTTTATGTTCCATCTACACTTTAATGTCCTTAATTTACTCCTATTCTCAGTTTCACCTTATTTCAGACATGTTTTTCTTTCCTGTCTCCCTTCACTGTCTCTGAGCTATGTACTTGTATATATAAAAGTGGGAATATGTGGCTAGAATATGATGACCTATTCAAATAGCCCAACAAATTCATCTCATGATGCATACTGATTCAGAATCTGTTAAAATATATAAAAGTAGTCAGAACACACAAAAAAATACCCAGACTTTTCTATAGTCAAAATACATTTTTTATGTTTTTCTTCTCAATTTGTTAGTTATCTATAATCATATTTATGTCAGTGTTTTCATCTTAACATTTTGTTATAAAACATTTCAAACATGTAGAAGGGTTGAAAGAATTATACTTAGGTTTTATTATCACACCAGATAGCCACAGATTAGATTCTATATTTGACATTTCACTGAAGTTGCTTTATCACGTGTCTATCCATTTAGCCATCATCAGTTTATCTTATCTTTTAATGCATTTCAAAGTTGTAGACATGGGCCTCCTCATCCCTAAACACATTCACATTCATATCAAGGCTTGTTTATATAAAAATATATATATGTAAAATTTATGTGCAGTGCAATACACAGATCATTATATATATATATATATTTTTTTTTATTATTATTTTTTATTTTTATTTTTATTTATTTTTTTTTCCAGGGAGGAAGGGAGAGGAAGAGAGAGAAACATCAATGATGAGAGAGAATCATTAATCGGCTGCCTCCTGCATGCCCCCTCTTGGGGATTGAGCCCATAATCCAGCCATGTGCCCTTGACTGGAATCGAACCTGGGACACTTCAGTCCTCAGGCCGATGTTCTATCCACTGAGCCAAACCAGCTAGGGCTACACAGATCATGAGAGCCCTATTAGATGAGTTTTGAATGTTAATGGCTTTTAATTCCTGGTAAGATCATGAATGACCAATTCTTTTAATTATTCTTATCAGCATACCCATTCAAGCCAATGCACTAAAAGTCAGTGTTACTCTTGCCACAGACTGGTTCCTTTGCACAGGTTATTCTTCCTCAGGCTCCAGAGCAAAGTCCCTGATCCTCTCCTGGGCTCGCTCACCCCTCACCTGAGGCTCCAAGTTGTCCTTCACCCGTGGGTGGGTCTAGATCGGAGCGGGTAAAAGCTGTGGAGTAGATACGACTAATCCCAGAGACAGTGGCATGATCAGTAGACTGTGGGATGGAGTCTAGGGGTGTGAGGGAAAGAGCCAGGCGACAGGAATGGTGTCCAGGGGGAAGACAGTGTATGGGAATGGGTTCCAGATCTTTGAATTCTTGGATATTTAGGGCAGAGAGGTGGGAGGGGAGTTATCAGAGTTAGGGAGAAGGGAAAGGAAAGGGAGGAGAATGGATAGGTGCTGCTCTGCATAGTGAGTAGAGGACCAAATTGGGGTAAGACTGCTGATGTTCATGTCCCTGTGCCTCCATTTATCAGCTGTGCATTTGTTGTACCTCAACTCTCCGCCTCAATTTCCTCATCTATAAGATGAGGTTAATAATTAGTGCCTACCCCATTAGATCTCACTGGAGAATCATGTGAAATTATATAAATGGGAGTAAATACGCTTTTTACTGTTTGGTGGGTGGTAAAGGTTTGCTGACTGCACGGATGGGTGGTTGGTTTGTTTAGCTGTGGGGTCCGTCTTAGACATTTACAGTTTAGAAAAAGGAAGGCCTTTTCCCTCCCTCTGCTCCCCACATCTCATTCCCTTTCCCGTCTGCTGGCCGTGGCAGAAACATTATTTTAATAGGAGATAGAACTGCTCATTTTGCAAAAGAGGCTTTAAATTGCAGCTGGCTGGGAGAGTTATTATATTAGTGCAAGTGGGTTTCATTTGAAACACAGATATTGATTTCCGATTTTTTGTTTTGTTTTGTAAGGAAAGGTAGAACTGAGGCTAACGGTGAGAGAACTAGAGCCACTGGGGTGTGGGCTAAGCAAAAGGAATAGATGAGTGTCCTTTTTTATTTATTTATTTATTTATTTTAAAGCAAGCAGTGTTTTTATTTACAGAGGACCTCAGTTTTGCAATGCAATAATGGTCTGTGCTATAAGTAAGAAATAAGAAACCACAGGGAAGTGGGTTCAGGACAAACAATGAGACTGAAATTCTGTGTGTGCTTTTTTACCTGTTGACTAATCACATCCATTCATTCTTAGGCTGCATCTGTTCACACCAGGTACACACCCATACAAATCCCTTCCTGCCTTTTTGTTAGTACTGCTGTCAGCCCCAGGGCGTGAGAGAGAAGGGCAGGAAGCGTGGCTTCACTCTCAGCCAATGCCACACGTCTCACTTTTAGGAAGGTTTTGTGTGGAAATGTGAGAGGCTGACATGGTTTTCAAGTTGGAGGGGCTGGTACCACCTTTAAAAATGCCTGTGGATTCTGACGACAGGCTAACTGCTGTCGGTTTGGAACTCCCTCGGGTGGAAAGGGCAGGCTCATAGTCATTCCATTATCGATCCTGGCTTCGTTTCCAGGTGGCTATCACTGTGTACACAAAGGCTCACCTTTCACACCCTCTCTCAGGCTCTTTCCCAATGGCCTGTGCTTTTTTTATTTTTTATTTTTGCAGATCGATCTGTTAGCTGGAACTCAATTATCAGTTTGCTCTTATCAAAAATCACCCCAACTGCTGCTATTAAAATGTACTTTTACAATAGACATTGGTGTACCCTGGCTCCTGGTGTCTGGCAAGTGTGTTCTGGCACCTGTGAGAAGCCCAGGCAAGACTACACGGAAAGGGAGGCGGACTGTTCTCCAGTGAAATGCCCACAGCCTAAGAGAACCGTAGTTGAAACACCTTTTTTTTTTTAAATATTTTTTGTTGTTTTTTTACAGAGAGGAAGGGAGAGAGATAAACAGAAACATCAATGAGAGGGAATCATCCATCAGCTGCCTCCTGCACAGCCCCTACTGGGGATGTGCTCGCAACCAGGGTACATGCCCTTGACCAGAATCGAACCTGGGACCTTTCAGTCCACAGGCGGATATTCTATCCACTGAGTCAAACCGGTCAGGGCTGGAACAACCTTTAAAAAACAACTCTGTGCTTAGCCCAGACTGTTCTCACACCTGGCCCCACCCACTATGTCATACTGAAGGCAAGGCCTCTTTTATTTTGCAAACTTGCAACAAACAAAAATGTGGGTGCAGCAGAATTAAATACTGAATGTTGTCTCACATGGCACGTCTGCTTCAAAAAGAAGACACAAGTGAGTTACTCTGAGTTGTTTAAAGCATTGCCTTCATTTAGAGGTAGGCCTCGTTTGTGCTCTGAAACCAGGTTCCCTTCCCTGCAAAGTTTAAGTGGAGGCTGCATCCAATTACTATTTCAAAATAAAGCTGAGGATTAAGATTCTTCCACCGGATAATTTTTGAGTTCCTGTTATGTGCAGGGCTCCCCACTAACTCAATGCCCACCAAGTGCTGGCCTTGGACAAGAGACAGGCAGAGCAGTCTGTGACTAAATATGATTAAGTCACACAGCAGTCTGACCAGGGATTCGATTCTGACCCTGGAGGGGGGCAGCGGGGGCTTAAAAGAGGGGGTGACGATTATGCTGGGCCTTGGAGGATGAGTAGGACTTTGACCCTTCAAAACGGAGGAGAAAGGCATGCTCCAGTTACTACCACTGCATACTAAACTGCCCTAAAATTTAGTAGCAAAACCCAACCATTTTATTATGCTTACAGACTCTGGGGTCAGGAATTCAGCACCAGTGCAGTGGGGACAGCTCATCGCTGCTCCACAAGGCCTGGGGCCCTTAAACTAGGAAGGGACCCCACAGTCAGGAGCCGGAGTTACCTGGATGCATCTTCACTCCCATGTCTGGCAGTTGATCCTGGCTAATGGGTCTGACCATGGCTGGGGCTGTCAGCAGAAATTCCTGACCGAGGCCTCTCGGGGTGGCTTGGTCTCCCTCCCAGAACGGTGGCCTCAGAATGGTCCGATTTCTAACCTGGGCTCCCACAGTAAGTGTTCCCACAGAACCAGGTAGAAGCCGCATGGCATCTTCTGACCTAGCGTTGGAAGTTACATGGTATCATTCCCACCATGTCCTATTGGTGACAAAAGAGGCATTAAGGCCGAAACAGGTTTGGCTCAGTGGGTAGAGCGTCGGCCTGCAGACTGAAAGGTCCCAGGTTTGATTCCAGTCAAGGGCATGTACCTTGGTTGCAAGAGGCAGCTGATAGATGATTCTCTCTCATCGATGTTTCTTTTCTTCTTCTTTTTCTTTTTATATATTTTATTGATTTTATACAGAGAGGAAGGGAGAGAGATAGAGAGTTAGAAACATCGATGAGAGAGAGTCATTGATCAGCTGCCTCTTGCACACCCCCTACTGGGGATCTGCCTGCAACCAAGGTACATGCCCTTGACCGGAATCGAACCCGGGACCTTTCAGTCCCCAAGCCGACGCTCTATCCATTGAGCCAAACCGGTCCCGGCTCATCGATGTTTCTAACTCTCTATCTCTCTTCCTTTCTGTAAAAAATCAATAAAATATATTAAAAAAAAAAAAAGAGGCACTAAGGTTAGCTAGCTCTCGTTCCATAGGAAGGGGCCTAGAACCTCATCTCTTCATGGGAGGTGTATGCCATTTAAGAAACTGTCACAGTCCTAGCTGGTTTGGCTCAGGGTTAGAGCGTCGGCCTGCGGACTGAAAGGTGCCGGATTCGATTCTGGTCAAAGGCACATGCCCGGGTTGTGGGCTGATCCCCGGTGGGGGGCGTGCAGCAGGCAGCCAATCAGTGATTCTCTCATCATTGATGTTTCTATCTCTCTCTCTCTCCCTCTCCCTTCCTCTCTGAAATCAATAAAAAATATATTAAAAAGAAAGAAAGAAAGAAACTGTCACAGACAGGTGTGCTGACAAAGCATGAGAGCACCTGGGTGTTTCCAGCTGTGGGGCAGTCTGGCGCTGCTGCTGCTGCTGGAATTTCAGGGTGTGGGGTAGAAAGAGCAGAAAGGGGGACAGTAGGCTCGGGCCACAGTGTGAAAAATCTTGACCGCCTTTGTGGAAGGCATGTATCTTCACACCACACTTCACAGAAAAATGCAAAGCTTTGTTTTTCTATGAGTCAGTCTACCTTTTCTTTGGAGAGCTTCCATCTGGGTGTGAGAACCTAAGCTCAGCTGTGGGTCATGTGGGCCGGTCTGGGTTGCTAAGCTCGGTCCTCCCTCCTCCTTCCTCTGGGCGTCTGCAGTGGCCAGGGAGCTGGCTCTGGGCTGGCTTCTGTCCATGTTGACGTCCGTCTGGGACGGGGATCGGAGCAGGGGGTCGCTGTGTTGTCCCTGGCTGCAGGGCCTCTTGAGGTTGCCTGTTTCAGCTCAGACTGCCCCCTTTACAGGGACGCGGGGAAATCAGGCTGCCTCCTGTACCTCTCTGGGCTGCAGGGAACTCCAGGATGTTGTTGGGTTCTTTTCCTTCCACCGGCGATGGATCGCTCCTGTGCCAGGCCAGCTGCGGGGACATTTAAAAGGCTCGGGAACTTGGAGGCCTCCACAGGGAGGTGACAGTGCCTTCTAGAACCTCCAAATCTCTCTGGCATCTTTCCTTCTCACTTCTTTTTGCCCTTGAAAATCGGGTTCCTTTCCCTGGAAATGACAAGTCAAAGCTGCATTGAATTACTTTTTCCAATAATGTTGAGAAACAAGTTCTTTCAGAAAACCGTTTTATCACTGCCCCTCACCCCCTTTCCCCTCCTGGGACAGGATTCCTTAAGATCTAACCCAGCATTGAAGCCCGGAGGCTGGGCTTGTGAGTCTGACCTCACCCTTCCAAAATCTTTGGTATTTATGCCAAGGGGACCTACTCTCTGGAGACTCAAAGATAAAGATTGGACTCTCCTGAATGGTCTCCCTTGGAGAGACCCTGAGGTTGGAGAAGATCCTTGCAGTCGGGGTGAACAGGGAGGGGCATGATTCCCTCATACATTGAAAAACTGATCCTCACAAACCTGTGCAGTGAATCTCATATCTTCCTCCAAGGAAGGACTGGCCGCCTCTAACTGTCGTCGTCTGAGAGCTTCTAGCTTCTAGCTTCTTCAGAATTGACCTCAGCTTTATTTTTATTTATTTTCTTTTTTGTAAAATAAACATAATTTACCATTAACACTCTGGCTAGTTTGATTCAGTCATTAGAGCGTTGGCCACTGGACAGATGGGTCTCAGATTTGATTTCAGGTTAAGGTGGAGGGGGCATGTGGGAGGCAACCAATCTATCTATATGTCTCTCTTCTTCTCTTCCCTCTTTCCCATCTCTCTCTCTCCCCCTCCTTCCTGCCTTCCATTCTCTCTAGGAAAAAAGAAAAAACAAAAACAACTTACCATCAGTAACACTTAGTACACACACAGTACTGTGCAACCATTGCCACTGTCTGGTTCCAGAACATTTTCCTCACCACAAAAGGAAACCCACATCCATTAAGCATTCAGTTCCCTTCTGTTCCGGAAACCTCCAGTCTGCTTTCTCTCTGCGGATTCGCCTGCTCTGGAGGTTTCCTATAACTGGAACATACGATACGGCCTTTCGTGCCTGGCTTCCTTCACTGAGCATACGGTTTTTTGAAGTCCATCCGTGTGTCTGTACTTCTGGTTTTTAGCTATGTTCACCCCACGCCTTTCTAGTGGTTCCTCCTGAGGTCAGATAGCTTCCTCCTGTGCAGGCAGGAGATTGGGGGATAGAATGAGTGGTTATTCTCTCAGTGTCTCTTTCAACCATTATTTTTCTCAATATTTTAACTAAAAAAAGAACATCAATATCTGATCCTGGTTTACCAATGATTTATCTAATTCCTTTAGATTTGTGAGTTTTTTGTTTTGTTTTAACATATATATATATTTTTTCTATAAAATACCTTTTTGGTATGTCCTGTTTCCCCAATTTTCTGTCTCCGAATCCTCTCTGGTTGGGCCAGCTGCGTACGTGATGAGAATGAGTGTAGATAAATGCTGCTGCTTCCATAAGACAACTTTAGTAACAGTTATGAGAAACCCAGGGGTCATGTATTAAAGATCTTCACTGTTACCAGCATTATCACTCTGTGAATTTACATATGTACAGTGACTTCCTTTTTGTAGACTATGGAATAGCTACATACCCTACATTTACTTTTATGTATTGTATAGATTTTTATAGGTTTTTGTTTTATTTTGTTTTTGTTAATCCTCACCCGAGGATAGTTTTTCCATTGATTTTTAGAGAGAGTGGAAGGGAGGGAGGGAGATAGGAGAGAGAGAGAGAGAGAGAGAGAGAGAGAGAGAGAGAGAATCATCAACATGAGAGAGACACATCGATTGGTTGCTTCTCAGTCATTCCCTCACTGGGGCTGGGGAGTGAACCTGCAACCCAGGTATATGCACTTGACCAGGAAATCAAACTTGAGATACTTTTGTGCATGGGCCAATGCTCCAACCACTGAACAACACTGGCCAGGGCTAGATTTTTATAGTTTTAAAAGGACTTGCCATACATTGAAGAAGCCTCATTCTCATAGCAGCTCTCTGACATAGAATAGATATAAATGTAAGTCCAACAATGCTGGATTCACAGACTGACCCTGCAATTGTTACCTGTAGGCAAATACAGTCTCCTGACCAAGGTTAGCTGAATGGTTGCAGAATATTGGGTAATGTGTTGGAGACAAATTAAAGTCTCCCATTGTGTGGACCCAGAGCAGTGACATTATTAGTTTTCTCAGAAAGCACAGTAGGGAGCATCATTTTACTCAGTTTGGAAAATCTTGATGTTGATTTTTCTTCAGGTCCAGGGCTTGTGATTGATTAGACTCTTTAATTATTGATTAGTTTTCTTTCAAGAAGCCTCAGAACTTTTAGAGAGAAGGGCATTTATGTCTGTAGAAAATTTTAATTTCTCATCTTTCCTCTCCTCTTTCTTTGCACTAAAGACAGAGATAAAAATCCAATCATTACTTTTAATGACTTACTGTCTTGAGTGTAACTAATCTTCTCACTCTGGGACTAAATGTCCTGGGAAGCCTGTCACAAACAGTATGAATAGTTTTAATGGAATTTTGTCTCTTTTACGCTATCTGTGGAAATCAGTGTCACCTATAACACAACAAAACGTGAATCTGAATATTCTTGGTTATTTTGCAGTATAGCATTCATTGGCTGCAATTCAGAATCATATCACCCTTTTATTACCAAGGAGGTACTCCACTACCCAATTTACTTTAACATGTATTCATTGAGTGCCTTTTAGGTGCCAGATACTTTAAAATGAAACTCCTAACCTTAGGACTGGTTTCATGGTTTGCCAGGTTTTAAATTCTATTGGATCATGAAAGTTCAAGTTAATTAATTCTAGCTACTAAAAAAATAAGACTTCCTGTTAAGATGGAATTTAATCATTAGATTAATACAGATATTTGAAAGCCTTTTTATAATTGAGACAGCTCTGAAGATCTTAAATTTTGAGAAGTTGGGCCAAAATGATTCTACCAAAAACACCCTGCTGAGCTTTAGTACATTTCAAATTATTTTATGGTGTTGGAAATAATAGGAAAAATGTTGAGTAACATACTAATTATAAAATTTGAGTACAGGAGAAACTCCCAAGTCTGAGGAAATGGACAGTAGCGATGGAAAGAGCCCAATGTGGCAAGACACAGAAATGGAGGAAGATATGCCAACACTTTCTTTGCAAATATGCCTTGAGGACCAACCGGTTGTTCTGGCTCAGTGGTTGAATGTCAACCCATGAACCAGAGGACAAGGTTCGATTCCTAGTCAGGGCTCTTGCCCAGGTTGTGGGCTTAATTCCCAGTGTGGGGTGTGCAGGAGGCATTCTCTCTCATCGTTAATGCTTCTATCTCTCTTCCCTCTCCCTTCCTCTCTGAAACCAGTAAAACAATCCTATGTAATAAAAGCCTAATATAATAAGTGTCTGGTCAACCAGTCGGCCATTCAATCAATCAAAGCATAATAAGCTAATGATATGCTAAAGCAACTCAACTGCTCGCTATGACATGCACTGACCAGCAGGGTGCAGACACTCTGACCAGTAGGTTAACTTGCTGCTGGGATCCAGCGATTGGGACTGAGCAAAAGGAGCCTGACATGCTCTGGAGCCCTCCTGTGGTCCCTCCCTGGCTGGCCAACCTCCCACATACCGTATTTTCCAGCATATAAGACGACTTTTGAAATGGAAAAAAAAAAGTCAACTGAAAATCGGGGGTCATCTTATACGCCGAGTATATCCCAAAAAAAGTCTCGATATGCCGTTAAATGAATTTTCCAATTTGATCCCGCACCAATCACTGCAAGGCTGCTCGGACCGCCTCTCTAACTCAGCCAATCCAAGCAGGCTTTTTATGCATGCAAATTATAGTACATGTTCTGTACCCAAAGCTACACTGTGTTCTAGTAAAAAGCCTGCTCAGATTGGCCAGAGTCAGAGAGGTGGTCTATTAAAAAAAAGAACTGGTGTTGTCTCAGAAGCGGGGGGTAGTCTTATACAGAACATAGGCCTAAATCTATGTTTTAACTGTAAAATTAGGGGGTCATTTTATACGCTGGAAAATACAGTACCTCTCTGGCCCCAATTGTGCTCCAGCAGGGTCCCTCAGCCTGGCCTGCATCCTCTCGCAATCCAGGACTGCTCTGGGGATAGGGGAGAGCTGGTTTTGGCCCAATTCTTCAGGCCAAGCTGAGGGACCCCACTGGTGCACGAATTCGTGCACTGGGCCTCTATTAAATAAACAAACAAATAAAAATAAACACAAATAAACAGATAGCTCTAGTTGGTTTTGCTCAGTGGTTAGAGTGTCATCCCAAGAACTGAAGAGTCATGGGTTCAATTCTGGTCAAGCCCAATGGTTTTCCTGGTGCCAGTCTGGTCGCATGTGGGAGGCAACCAATCAATGTGTCTCTCTCACATCAACGTTTCTCTCTCTCTCTCTGTCTTTCCCCATCCTTTCCACTCTCTCTGAAAATAATGGAAAAAAATATCCTCAGTGAGGATTAACAAAACAAAACAAATAAAATGGATAGACACATATTTTTTTTCCCATTGGTGGATACAGGACAGTAAAGAGCATTATAGAGCATAGAGGTGGTATGCGGGAGAGAGCAAGATAACACTGAGGGGTTCTATGGTTTTGTGTTCTAGTGAGAGATTGTGCCCTGAGGGGTCTGGGAAAAAGGGGATTACCCCAACATTCCAAAGGTAAGTTTTCATAGATGCAAAAGTGACAACAGACACATTCAGTTAAGGGAAAGACTGACTTTTGTCAAGGAAGTGGTCAGCAAATTGCAGCTCGCAAGCCACATGTGACTCTTTAGCCCCTCTTCCACAAAATACCACAGCCTGGGCGAGTCTATTTTGAAGAAGTGGTGTTAGAAGAAGTTTCAGTTTAAAAAATTTAGCTCTCAAAAGAAATTTCAATGGTTGTACTGAACAATCTAACGAGTTTGCCAACCACTGGCCTAGGACATGACTACCCACCATAACTCATTTTTAGGTAGGGAGTTTTAGTTTCAGACCATCCTATGCGGTTACTTTATGTCTCTGAGTTTGTAGGGCACACCATGCAGGCCTCCCCTGACCTTGTCAGGTTTAGTATATGGCCCCTTTTTCATTCACACAGTGATCTTGGCTTCATTTATGAGCTTAAGATATATTCTAATAGGGCAAATCCAGTTGCTCCTCATAAAATGATAAAATTGTGAAGTATTTTACTTTTTCTTAAAAATTCTTTACTGTTGAAAGTATTATATATGTCTCGTTTTTCCCCCATTGACCTCTCCCAGCCTGCCTCCCAGCACAGGCCCTCAACGCCCCCTAGTGTCCATTGGTTATCCTTATATGCATGCGTACAAGTCCTTTGGTTGATCTCTTAGTCCCACCTCCCACTCTCCTTTGCTTTCCCTCTAAGGTTTTATGATCTGTTCAATGCTTCTGTGTCTCTGGATCTATTTTTATTCATCAGTTTATGTTGTTGTATTTTACTTTTCTTCTTTTTAGTAGGTGCACTTCACTTAAATTCCCCTTGATTATTTTTAATCTTTCTAATTCCCTCTTAAAAATATTTCATATAATCTCATCATTCCTTTGAGATAAAGAATTGTTGTTGGATAAAATGTGACTCCATCCAGAAAAACATTTTATATACCTTAAGAGTGGTGCCTAGTAAAATTTTATCTCTTGCTTTTTTAAGAAAGTTTAGATGCTATAAATTCACCCTCTAATCATCTTGGACACATTTCTCATTCTCATTTTATGACACACTCTCCTCTGTTTTATATAATAGTTTAATAGTCATGTTTGAAATTGTCTGGGAAGCAATCTCAACCAATGGTTTATAGGCTACTTTTAATGGGCAATGTTAGCTATTTATTGCTCTCAGATATAACATTATTATTATTATTATTATTATTATTATTATTAAATATTATTTGTTGATTGCTGGTGGTTGCACCTGGAACTATGTGAGACATAGAGAAGTGATAATCACTGCCCTGTGGCCCGTTATCTGACAAATAGGAACGAGGTGTCTCTGTGTGGTTTCTCTCGCTCCATGGCAGATATTCCCTCTTATAGGAAATGGACAAGACCTAGAGTCAGGTGATGTATTTTCACCTTATTTTTGGGGGCCTCTTCCCACGAGTATTAGATTTCTTGGCAGCCAAGGTGAACTTTTTAAGAGGAAACATTAGAGTAATAAAGTAAACCAATGACCTTTGCAGGCACATCACACTGATTCATGATTCCAGCCTCTGCATTAGGTTGGCATTGCTCATATCTGTAAGTCAGTGTTGGAAATAACCTTTGAAGTTCAGGTCATTCAAAACCCCCTGGGCAAGAACTATATATCCCCAAAGGAACAAGATAGAGGGATCTCTTCCCTAACATTAGCAAGGACACTTGAGATACTCTGCTTGTTGAGCCAATGAGTATTGTTTTCTTTAGCTTGCTCATACTTTTAAAAATTTTATTGATGAGAGAGAGAGAGAGAGAGAGAGAGAGAGAGAGAGAGAGAGAGAAATACATCAATGTGTTGTTCTACTTATTTATGCATTCATTGGTTGATTCTTGTACGTGCCCTGACCTTGGTGTATTGGGAAGATGCTCTAATTAACTGATTTACCCAGCCAGGCCCTCCATGTTCTGTGACTTTCATAATTGGTAATAGCTAATATATAGTATTTACATATTTTTATTAATACCGACTCCTCAGCTGGCCATGGCTGTTCTCTGTCGAGCCTGTGTCCTAGTTCTTGAAGGGTGTGTTCCCTCTGAGCATGACAGCGGCCTTCTGGAGGGGCCGATGTGGCTCTGTGTGGATGTGGGTGCCGTCCCTCTGGCCCGGACATGAGGTGTCACTGAGGAAGTGAAGCAGACCTTGCGGGGAATGTCTTCCTGTGCCTGTTTGCTCAGCTTAGAGTCGTCTCAGCTAAAAATAGCAGAAGCTGTTCGCCATCTGCCAAAGGCAGCTGTGTGGGCCTCCCATTGTGACCTGCAGGCAACTCTGGCATGGCTGCTCATGTCCTTGTTTACTGGGCAAAAGGTAATGTAGCTATTACTTGGTAGATGGTCTTCTGTACTTTTTTCTCATGACCATTGGTGTTATGAGAAAAAAGTACAGTGATAGGAGGCACCATGGTGTGTTACTCAATTAGGGTTCTCTTAGAATTATATAGCTTCTTTGGCTGTCCCTTTAGGCATCCCTGAATCACATCAACCTCTTGTTAAAAAAAAAAAAAAAAAAAAAAAAAAAAAATATATATATATATATATATATATATATATATATATATATATATATATATTAATTGATTTCAGAGAAGAAGGGAGAGGGAGGGAAAGATAGAAATATCAATGATGAGAGAGAATCTCTGATCCCGCTTGCACACCCCTACAGGGATCAAGCCTGAAACCCAGACATGTGCCCTGACTGGGAACTCCTGGTTCATAGGTCAAGGCTCAACCCCTGAGCTACACCAGCTGGGCTGGCTTTAAATAGAAATGAACAGATTTCCAGCTATATCAAGCAGAAACAGAATTTCTCATAGAATATGAAGGTTCTTATAGAAACTCTGTGAGGGCCAAGAAGTTGGACTTGAAGGCTGTATAGCAAGGAACAATGCCCAAATGACACTGCTTCAG